ATTTCATTCTATCATATCTAGTTTCTGAAATATTCAAATTTTTGCTTTAACAATTGTTTTACCGTCCTTACTCCAAAATATTTTTTCGAAAATATGTATATTTCTTTGATCTCCACATCACTATCATTCCGATCGATGAAATAAGTAATAAAATAAACAATAAACCTTGTGTCCTTTCATTAGCCTTTAACGCAAGAATCCTCCACGATAGCTTGCTTTAAAGAATGTTATCCTCTAATAAAATCACTTAACAGTTTTTCTATATTAATTTAAATAACATATTTTTATTTATTTATTTTCATAAAATTAAAACAAAAACTTTTGTACACTTTCACTGTATGAGGGATTCAGTTTGCCACTTAATGCTTCCTTTTCTAGCCATTCGTATTTCTTACTTATGGCCTGATCTACGTTACCCGCCTTCAATGAGGCCCTAAAGAAAAATACTTTGGCGCCCACACTTTGATCACGAGCTGCAGCTGGATATTTGTATTTATAGAAACCACAAGGAGCATTGCCATAGAATTGTACATTCATTTTATCACCACATTTTTCACGCAAAACACGTTCAGCCGCTTGCCTCATGGTTTCTCCGTCGAGACGTAGACCTTGGGGTAACAACAAATGATTTTTGGAGCCCAATTTGTGTTCTACCAGTAAATACAAAGTCTCATCCAAGCGACGATTGGTGGAGACTACATTTTTTGCAGCATCATCGGTCGTGGTACGGGGAGCAACTTTAAATTTATTTAATTCCTCAATGTAGGCATCTTTAAGATCTTGTGCTGTTTGCTTGGAAGCAGACTCATCAAGATCCACTTCCATTTGTCCCTTTTTCAAAAGTTCCGCCTGTTTCAAATCACGTTCATGTTGCAATTCGTGCTTGGATTTGAGTGATTTCTCAAACTCTACACGCCACAAATATTGTTGGAACTCTTTTTCGATTTCATTGAATTCCTTGGAAACCACGGGTAATCTTTCAACCAAAACACCGGCATATAAATCCCATTTTTCTTGTTTTCTGCTGGCTGTTGAGGAAGCGAATGTCCGTGCCACTTCTTGGGTATTAGCACGCACTTGTTGTGCAATTAATAAAGGGAATCGGCGTAACATTTCGTTTTTTAACTAATTTAAAACTTAAATTGTAAATATTAAATAACAACAATTAGTTGGTCTAAAAAACAGCTTCATAAGAAAAAAATAACCTTAAAATATTAATTCTCACTGTTGCAAAAACAAGTAGTGACATAGGAAAACAAATTTTAATATTTTTAAATTAAAATTAATTTTATAAAAGAAAGTTTTAATAAAAATCTAATCATAAGCTAAAAAATAACATATTTTATAATTTTATTTTTAATATCTTCATATTAAATTTTGAAATATTAATTTAATTTACTACTTTTTATTTTTTTTACTACCATTTTCGTAGTTTTGCTATTAAGTTATCATTTCTGAGTGAATGTCGAAAAACATCTGGCTGTCATATTTTACTATATACAATTTTCGCGTGTGTGCTGTTCGTTTTGTAAATCTTTTAAAAGTTTTCTGAATTTTTAATTAAATACAAGAGTGTTTTCTTAACTTTTGATTTATATTTGCATAAAAAAGGTTTGTAGTTTTATATTATTGTAATAATTACTAATTAAGTGTAACTAAGTTGGGAGTTTTGTCAAAATTTTCTAACCTCTAGACCGGTGCGTGCTGTAGTAGTTTGCCATAGAAGAGGATAATTTATGAATCTTAAAATAAATCGTATAATTATATGTTTATAGAATAGATAACATTTAGAATAAGCAAATTAAGATTGTTGTATGGGCTGTGATGGATATAGTCCTTAATAGTAATATTTGCAAATTCTATCTTGTTCTAATACTAATTTACAGTCTTGACAATACTTATAAGTATAGTTTATTTTTAATAGTGTTGCAACTTGCAATAGCAAAACAAAGGTAAAATGTCAAAAATTAAGAGTCAATAAAAAATAACGTTGAAGAGCCTATATTTCGAATTGAATTTTGATAATTCGAACATAATATTATTTTCATATTAGTTGTGTACCTATATTCCAAATTATAATTCCAAATTAAAATTTTGTTAAAATTACCAACATCACACATACTAACAAAACCCCGAATTTTCAACTTTTCGAACATTCGATTCGGTATAGTGGAACTGGTCGAAAATTTGTACCGTATAACAAACAAAGAAAGTTAAATACTTCTAAAAATAGCACAGGACTGTTTCTGAAATATATACTTATATCATAATTTATTATTGTTGTAAAATATGTCAGTATCCAATTTCGGTCAAATACAAGGAGCTTAGCTGCCCTAATCGATTTTTTTAATTTGTATTTGTTTCAAGCTTTATTTTGTAAATTAATTGAAGAGAATACAAAATTTATAAAATTTTTAATTTGAAGCCAAAATATATTTTCTTCAGACGGTATAACAAACAAAAGTTTCAAACTTTATGCTAAAATATGATATATCAGGATATTTACAGGTCCAGCGCAACATGATTATTTTGAAAATAATATCTGTTCTCTGTTACCAATTACAGGTACGAATTTATTCCTTTAAAAGTCAAAATTTCCAAAAAGTGCCAAAATTTGCAATATATAAAAAGTTGATTATTTACGAAAAGGTTTTGTTTTTCAAATTTGTATAAAAACAGCTTTTGAATCGTTTTAAACAAATAGAAGTTTTATTAAATAATTATAATGTAAAAATATTATGTGTCGTAACGTTTTTCTATACCAATTGTACATTAGTATAGAATTGAAAAACATTTTTATACATATTTCGACTTTTATTTAAAAAATCGATATTTTCCTCAATATATAATCGATTTTAGAACAATAATAGTGGACATCCATTTTTTTGGATAAAATAATTGAATAAGACTTTTTCGACAAAAATCTATATTACAAAAAGCGAATGTTCATTATATTACTAACGTTAACGTTTTGTTAACATTTTCCTGTGAATGTCAGCGAAGGTGTATTTTTGTTTTTTTCAACAGCTGTTTGATTTTTCTAATCATTTTTTTCTGTTTTAATTGTTTTTGTTGTTATTCGTAGTATCATTTTGCACTGTGATATTTTATTTGTTGCGTGTTAGAAAGCTGTCGATATTTTTTTATATTTTTGTTACTTTCTACAATAACTTTGTGAAATTAATTGTCCAATAAACCAAAAAAAAAAAAAAAACGAAACTGAAACGAATTTATTTTTGTAAACAATTTAAAAATTGTGTAACTAATTGCAACTGCATTTCATCAATAAAATTTACAACTAAACTCTTTTGCAATAATACTATAATACCTATAAACTAAATGCAATAATGTCTATAGCCTCAACATTGGCTTTGATTCTTACGGTTTTGGCCTCAGTTAGCATAGTTTCAGTTATTATCTTATTGGGTAAGCAAACTAGTAATCTTTAATTGATAATAATATTTTTTGGCAAGAAATTTGATTACATTTGTACTCTTGTTTGTGTTATGAAATTTGAACTATTAGGAAATCAAAATACATCTAATGTTTGGTTTATTTCTCCTATGACATCATACAACGTGGAATACATTATTATACGCAGGGGATCTTGTGTTGCTAAATACTCTTTTAAAGCGTTTTTTGTTTATTTAAATTGGTTTTAGTACATTAAACTTTGACCCATTTAATGATAGGGACAGCTTGAAGTTTTAATTTTACGTTAAAGACAAATGAAAACAAAACACAACTAATGAATTTATAAATATAGTAATGAACATGTGCTTAGAAGCATGTCCACTGTACTTGATCAAATATTTATAGAAAACTACTAATTTAAATATTAATGAAATCTATAATATTTTATAAACATGATTTTTATTAATTCCTCTATTGTAGGCTGGTTCCTGATTTGGAAGGCATTTTTATCGAAATTCCGTTTAGTACGCGAACTTTTGGGACAAACCAACGCTGACGGAACGCCACACTCAAACGGAGAATCTACAAGTCTAACAAGTAGTTCTCTGTCAACACAAAACAAATTAAAAAAACTAAGAAAAGACTAACAGCGACTACTTATTCGCCTAGTCATAAAGCTCTCGCAATAATCCTTCAATATCACACACAGTACTTAGTCTAAAAACAAATCTTTCATTATGAATATTCGTTGTGCTAAACCCGAAGATTTAATGGCCATGCAACACTGCAACTTGTTGTGTTTGCCAGAAAATTATCAAATGAAATACTATTTCTATCATGGTCTCACCTGGCCCCAATTAAGTTATGTAGCAGCCGATGATAAGGGCAATATTGTAGGCTATGTACTCGCCAAAATGGAAGAACCCGAATCTGGAGAGGACAGCAAACGTGGCCACATTACTTCACTGGCAGTTAAGCGTTCCTATCGTCGTTTGGGTTTAGCTCAAAAGCTAATGAATCAAGCTTCCAAGGCTATGGTTGAATGTTTCGATGCTCAATATGTGTCTTTGCATGTGCGCAAAAGTAATCGTGCTGCCTTGAATCTTTACACAAATACATTGAAATTTAAGATTATTGAAATCGAACCTAAATATTATGCTGACGGCGAGGATGCCTACGCCATGAGACGTGATTTGGGAGAATTTGTTTCGCCCAATGCTAAACAGGAGGCCGATAGTGAGGACCAGCAAGATAATAAGGAAAACAAAATTCATTATCGCGAATCATTACCTCATAATCACGATCATAGCAATCATGATGGCCATTGCTGCTAAAAGATATAGTAAAAAAAAACGAACTGAAACAACTATTGCGAAAGTTGTAGCAATTAATTAAGCAAATTTATGCGTCTTAGTATTTGCATACAATAAAACAAACTAATTATTTGCATTTTTCTAGAAATTTTTATTATTTTATCGAAATGATAAACATTTAATTTTGTTTTCCTTTATTTTTTTGTAATTATCTCAATGTAAAGCAAAACTAAATGTCCAAATTCTTTAATAAAGAATTTTTGAAAAACAAAACCTTACAATTTTTACAAATTCTTCTTTATATAGAAAGTATTTTATAATTTTTTTTAGGGAATTTTCGATCAAATTCTATTTTTATAAATAAATTTTGATAAAAGTCTTTAATTTTTAGAGAATTTGTAGTGTGCACCTCCCTAATAAACAGCTACTAATAAAAAGAAGAAGAGTAAACAAAAAAATAAAGGGATTTTCTATACTTCTTGTCATCTTTGACAAATGGAAATTTGGTAAACAAAAACAAATGAACAAAACTATGAATTTTAAATAGCTGAAAAAAAAAATATCAGCCATCTTTTCGATAAAGCTAGGTTTCGAGGCAGGAAACGAGGACAAATTCGTTCTTTTTTTAATCGAACTGGGCCAACAAAGAAGAAGGTGGAGTTGTGACTCCGTCATACAAAAAAAAAACTAAATTTTTGTTTTTTTTTTATAAATTAAATAAATTTTATTGAAAAGAAATTGTAAACTTAACATTAAACTTAAAACTAAATCTTCAAAATAAAAATAAGAAAAAGCTAAATAAACAAACCTGCAAGCCACTCAACACCAAACTCCATCCATCGAGGGAGCAGCCGCATTAGCATCACCACGCCTGGGGTGCTAGGGTATATTTGGTGATATTCCGACTACAGTACAGTGAAATACCGGGACACATAGACGGACGTTCGATTCGGTTCCTTTTCTTTAAGAAAATAAAAAAAAAAAAGATAAATATATATTAAAAAAAAAAGTGAATAGTGAGATATTTATATAAAAAAATAGGAAGTCTTACGTCTCGTAAATTTCATCCCGCGTGTGAACATTAACCACGCGTGCGCGAGTTAGGTTAGAGCTCTGGCCTAGGGATCAGTGAGTCGCGAGGTTGATTAACCAAGATTTTCCTAAATCTTATATAGGTAATTCTCCTAATAAAAAAAAATATATATAATTATTTAGAAATAAATAAAAGGAATTAGAGAATTTATAATTTATTCGTACCTCAAACTACTTTGACATCTGGACACGTCACGAACAGGAAATATCCATCTACCCTATCCTCATTTGGGAGATACTTCCGATAAAGTAGTTGGCCGCCAGGAACTAGAGCCGGAAATCGGTAATAAATCCGAGAGGTTGAGAAAGTGAAATTATAAATTATTATTATCAGAAGGGAACTATTGAATTAAACCTAACTTGGAAAAGAAACGTCGAAAACTAAAAAAAAAAAAAAATCCAAATTTTAAAACTAAATTTTTAAAATTAAAATTTAAAACTAAATTTGTAAAATTAAAATTTATAACTAAATTTTTAAAATTAAACTTTAAAACTAAAATTTTAAAACTAAAATTTGAAACTAAAATTTTAAAATTGAAATTTAAAACTAAAATCTTAAAATTAAAATTTAAAACTAAAATTTTAAAATTGAAATTTAAAACTAAAATCTTAAAATTAAAACTAGAAATAAGAGTAAAATATGAAATCGTCATCTAAAAGTAAATTTTTGTAAATTTTATTCCGATATTTTCGTTTATATAAATTCCTTTTTTTTTAATAAAACAACTTTTATAATGTATAAATGAAAATACTACTTTCCAAGTTTTATTTTAATTAATATGACTGGCTAAAATTCAGTAAACGCGGCGGTAAGTAGGGAAGGTATTGTCTGCGGGGAAAGTTTGGGACATCCCTACTATTGGATGTCATGGCGGGATTCAATCCCGAGTGGAAGGGTTATTTCCTGGCAACAACATCAGCCAGGAGAAGAATTGTTCGATAGACTAGTACGCAGGGAAATGGAGAAAGACTACTTTGAGCCCTTTAACTTTAATATATTTTTGCTGGTATGATTTTTTTGTGATGGTGTGTGTATTCGGTACAGATTGCTGGCAAGGACCACCCCCTCCGGCGAGCTCCAAGCCCGGCAATCGCGAGCATACCAGCGCCGCCGGCAATCTGGCCACACTGTTTTTTTTGTTGTTTATTTTGTTTTCTGTTTGTTCAATGAACAAACAGATGTTCAACAAATCCACCAACCCACACAGCACATAAATGGCGCCCAACGTGGGGCCCGAAGTAGGTCCATAGATTAATCTAGTTAGTCCTTAATGCTATTCAGTCAAGACTACGTAAGTCCTTTTAGGTCATAACAAGAGTCCCTAATTGTAGCGACGTCGTCAGGCGAAATAGTTATTTATTTTATTTTTTTTCATTTCTACTTTTCAATAGATGGGAATCTATAATTGTGCATGACTAATATTGTACACACTAACGTAAGTCCCGAACATCTGGACAACCCAGTCTGGTTCGCGTTGCGACGTTTGGTGTGGGCAATATAGTCATGCGGAATTATAGATTCTTCAGCCTGTTCTTTCCAAGCAACTTGAGGCTCTCGTATTAGCTTTCCATAGCAAGAGCGAGATTGCTCAAGTTGGGAGGAAAGAATAGCATAGGCAGCCACCCTTAATAGCAAAACTATTAGTGTTTGTTTAAAACTCACGTTTGTCTACAGCTAAATAGTTAAAGTAGTCCTAGAAGAACTAGGTTTTTAAAACCAACATCTAGTTGCACCTTAACATTTTTGCTGTGGTGAAACAAGCACTACCATTTATCATCCATTTTAACTTCTCCATCTCCTGAAACCAATAGGAAAACAATTACTACTATATCTTCGAACAATTTCAATATACTTTACCTGCAAACTTTACTTTCCCGAAAGCATCGCCGTTTACAAAATTACGTTTTGAATCTTCATTTTTTGTTTTGAGTTTGGATCTTTTCTTTTTAGATTTAGACTTTTAGTTTTTGAAAGAAAAAGGAAGATATTTTCTTAGTATCTCGTTTGAGATTTACCTTTAAAAAAATATATATATATATTTTTTTTTTTACTAGCGCTCGATTTTGCTTTTGTATATTTATATATATGTATTGACATTTTATCATTTGAATTGGACCTAAATATTTACGATTATTTGGTCAAGCTCATTTTAATATTGGTGTTCTCTACTATGGTATTAACTCGCTCAGCTAGGAGTCGATCCCAAGCAGACAACAGAAATAATCTTGAAATGGAGAACGCTAACAGAACCGTGATTGAAACTGCGGTTTCCGCTGCGCTCCCCTTGTACACCATCGCTAATACTATGACCACAACAACAACCACAACTACAGCAACTTCGACAGTAACACCCGCCGTCCGGCAGTTTATGTCATTAGCACAAGAACGCTCAGGATTTCATCACGAGTCTTCTTTTATAAACAGTACGATAACTTCGCCTGAATATAGCAGTATTACTGCCAGGAATGTGCAGCAGGAATATCGTTCCAGCATGCCACCGGCAGCACCTCCACCTGCTAATAATGTGACAGCCGCAACCGAGGTGGTTAATTTTATGCGCGAGGAATTGCAAAGGCAAATGCAGTTCTTGCGTAGCGATATGCAACAAGAGATTGCGCAATCCATAACTCGAGCGTTATCCCAAGCATCACCTCCACAGCCTGCCGAACCGCAACCACCTGTCCTACAACAAAATAACAATTTAGCGACAAATGTTCAACCACAATCGTATTTAAATATACCTGTGCTTAATAATCAGCAACCAGACGCTTTTCAGCCGTTGCCACCACAAGCAGCTTATACACATCCGCTAAACTTCAATCCAGTTTTGCCACCACCACAGTCGTCGCAAGCCCCTAGCTGGCCCACAGAAGGTGCCTTTTCCATCGCACGGAAGGTGGATTTATCAAAGTGGGGGATTAAATTTGATGGCACATTCAAATCCATGAGTGCGGAGGATTTTATCTTCCGTATTGACGTCTTGAGGCAGGATTATGATTGTAGCTTCAATGACATTTTAAGAAGTTTCCATTCGTTGTTGGAAGGCCAGGCTTTAGATTGGTACTGGAACCTCCGCAAGTTAAGGCCAATACGCTCCTGGGAAGAGTTGGTCGGAGCATTTCTTACGCAGTTCCGACGGTACGAGAGCGAGTTCCAACTGCAGAAACAAATAATGGACCGTCGCCAACTACCGATGGAAAGCTTCGAAAGTTTCTACAATGCTGTGATAAAGCTAAGGAACCAGCAGCGAAATCCATATTCTGAGCGAGACTTGGTGGAAATTATGAAAAGTAACTTAAAACCGTCAATGTCGCACTTGCTATTTTCTGTGACCACTTCTAATCTGAATGAGTTCTGTCAACAGGCGAAACGAGCCGAAAACTTAATTACCACTCAAAGGCAGACTTTTCAAGCTAGACATTCCGTCCCAGCTCGCGTACATGAACTCCAGTTTGGAGATGAAGAGCCGACACCTATCCCCGAAGTAGACGCCTTAGCCACTAGTAGCCGGTATATATGCTGGAATTGCAAGCAACCAGGCCATAGCTTCATGGATTGCCCATCACCCAATAGGCGCATATTTTGTTTTCGATGCGGTAGAGACGATGTAGTCACGCCTAAGTGCCCTAAATGTCAGGGAAACCTGAAGGGGAGCGAGTCCCAAACGGGGGAGACTCGTTCAAACCAACCCTAATCCCGGATAATACTCCGTCCAGACCTACTCGAATTCTAATTAATTCCGAGCGTTTAGCTCCTGAAGCTGAAAAGCCGAAAGTTCATGTAATTAAACCATTACATCAAAGAATTCATGAGTATAATGAAGCTAAATTAAGAATCTTCGGGCAGGTCTCTAACAAGATAAAGAAAGCCAGACAGCGTTACAAAATCAGGAAAAGAGTGAAGCATGAAATAATGTCGACAAGTTTGTATGAAGGAAAAGATGCTAGAATATATTTGAAAATTCCTATTAATGGACACGAGGTAGATGGTTTATTGGACAGTGGAGCTACCGTTTCCTGTCTGGGTAAAGGTTGTATGGAGTTAGTGGAGAGTACGGGTCTACCAGTCCAAAAGTTTCTGTCCTACGTTAAAACGGCCGATGGCAGTCCACACAAAATTGTTGGAAGGGTAAAAACGGTGATAAAATTTAATAATCATTCTAATGAAGTCACCTTATATT